AGCCATTTATACCAGTGCAAAGAGGTGTAAAACGCATCACTGACTCTCGCGATTTGATCACAAATCTTACGGTATCTGGGGTTTTACTTACGGTCCCAGCTCTGGGAGTCATGTGATTACATGAGTCTCTCAGCTTTCAAGAAAGGAAAGGGGGAAAAAGGTAACTTGCTAGCCCTCTTGTTTGCGGAGGAAAGCTTGGGAACAGAACCCGAGTGTAAGCCAATCTCATGATTTTGAGGGCCCGACTCGGGCTATTTTTTGCACATTTGGTGTTGGCGATGCCGACAACTTTAACCCCCCCGGTGCGGGGGAGGGGAATATCATTTCTGATTATTACACCTCTACCTCGATATAATGCTTTCCTCGGGAGCCAAAAAATCTTACCGCGTTATAGGTGAAACCGCGTTCTATCGAACTTGCTTTGATCCGCCAGGGTGCGCAGCCCCGCCCCTCCCGGAGCGCTGCTTTACCGCGTTCTATCCGAATTTGTGTTATATCGGGTCGCGTTATATCGGGGTAGAGGTGTATTTGCAATACCAGGCCCACATCGCGCCAGGCGCTGTACAAACATAGAATGAAAAGATAGCTGCTGCCAAAAAGGCTTGCAATCTAAAAAGGCAACGGATGGAGACTGATGGGGGAGTACACGGGAACAGTGAGACACTATTGGCCTGCATTGTAGGCCGTAATCTCTGCACGGCAGCAGTAGTGATTCACACCCCCAGCACAGGTGTAAATGACTCCCCGAGGGGCAGGACAGAGGGAAATCAGGCTGTTCCTTGAGGATGCGGTCGTGTCTGCAGGAGGAGGAGGCAGAGGAGTGAATAGAGGGTGGGCACGTGGAAGCCAGTCTGCATTTCCATCCCCACTTGGGACCAGTTTTCCAGCTCACTTAGGCCTGCGCCCGCTTCCCAGCCCTGCCTTGGCTCACGTTGTGTTTCTCTTTCTCCGGTATTTCACAGGCTACCTGACTGTCAGCATTGAGCCGCTTCCGCCTGTGGTGGTCGGGGATGCCGTGACTTTGAAATGTAACTTCAAGACGGATGGCAGGATGCGGGAGATAGTCTGGTACCGGGTAAGTGACCGTCCATTAACCCTCCTGGGACTGGGACAGGGTCAGGGTCAGGCAGGCTGTTCTTCCAGCACGTGATGTGAGGCTGGAGGGATGTCAAAGGAAACTGTCAAGAGGTTTCTTGGTGATAGAAGCATTGATTACCCAGCCATAGCTGCCTCGTCCGATCTAAAAGGGGAAAAGGGGATGAGACAGGAAGGCTTGGGTTGGCTTTGTTTTGCTTTTAAATGAACGGCAAAGAAATAGTCGTGAGATCATCCCCAGGGTCCTTCTGACACTCGCTCCAGTAGTTTTGTGATGTTCTCTCAGTGGGTTTTGGCGCTTGGCAGTTTAACTAACAGGGCCTTGCAAAGAAAGGGAAAAAACGGTGGCTGTTTACATCTGCTGGCCATGATGGTGTCTGGAAGATTATTGCTAGGGACGCCCTGTGCTATCAGGGTTGTTTGGAGCTGGGGCTCCCATTAGCCCCACTGGAGAGAGACGAGACTTCATTGCAAAGCATAGATTTGGCTCCCAGAGTTCAGGGGGTCTGGATCTGGCGTTATACAGCCAGGGGCCAACTGCAAAGCTCTGATTTGGATTGGGACTTTTCCAGAGTTTGGATCTGGGAGTTTCCTTCCCGTCATGCGGTAGCTCCCAATGTACACAAGTGTGGCCTTGCATCCCAAGAGAGTCTTAAACTGGCCATTGTATGTTATTTCCATGCTGGGGCAGTCAGCTGCCAAAGTATGCATCTCCCTGCCCCCTTGGGAGCTGGACATGCTACCATAATGCCACGTCCAGGCCAGGCACAATGCCAGTGGAGTCAGTCAGCTCAGAGTGACAGAGAGAGACCTGCACTCTGCCCAGGGAACGCGATCCTGCTCTCTTGTCGGGCCAAAGGGACCTCTCTGCATAAGCAGGTAGCAGACCCTCTTCAGGGAGAGGGCAGCTGGGTCAGTGCTGGGCAGAAGCCTGGGTGAAGCCTGGGTGCCTGTAACTCTACCCCGGCGCGCACCAGCCAGAATGGGTCGTTTGCGTTCTCGACGACTTTGCCCATCTCGCTTTGCCTTTGTTTGAACGGAAATCAAACTCGGTGTTTATCTGACTTTCCCTGCAAATGGCTGGGGTGACAGCGGCGAGCATCTCTGGCTGGGGGGACGACGGATGGGTGACAGCGGCGAGCATCTCTGGCTGGGGGGGACGGAACGGATGGGGTGACAGCGGCGGAGCATCTCTGGCTGGGGGGACGACGGATGGG